GGGTGTCGAATGTGTTGTTGGAAGTGGTCGTCTGTGTCGCCGTCGCCACGTCGGTCGTCATCATGATCGTGGGTCGTCGGGATGGAAACGGCTGTCGTAGTCGTGGGCGTCGGTCATCGTTGGCCTCGTGGTGCTGGTGGTCGTCGTCGTCGTCGGACGCCGATGGGCGTCGTCGTGGTCGTGTTTGCGGAAATGGTGGTGGTTGTCGTCGGTCGTCGTCGCCGTCGTCGTGATCGCCAGTCGTCGGTCGTCATCGTCGTCACACCCAGGGGAAGGAGGAATACAAGGGAAGATGAGGGTGAGAGATACGGAGGGAGGACGAGAAAGACGATGGCTGAAGAAGGCAGAAGATAGGAGGACTTCTTTGGAATCAACCTGGCGTTACAACAACTGTATGCCGTGATGGGAGGAGGAGGGAAGAGGGAGGAGTGACGGTGTAGCCCCAGCGGAGGTAAGCAGGTGTTCAACGATCTTCGGAGGCCGCCAACACCCCCACGCTGAACTCAGCACGTTGCCCCTTTGAACTGCCCAACATATTTACGCCCTTGGTCCAGAAATCGTCGCTCCAATGTACCAACCAACTCCCTACATGGTAGCGGGGCGTGTGCTATCGGAGGCAGGGAACCAGTGCTCCGTTGGAGCTAGATCAACCAGGGCGCGCGCTTTGCGTCACAATACATGTGTTACGAGTGGGGTTGCATACACCAAGGATGTGGCTTCACACAGGACGGCGATCACGTCGTCGTCGTCCTCCTCCTCCTTCTCACTCCCTCCTCCGCCTACTCCTCCTCCTCCATGTATGACAAGATGCCCTACGACAATCAGCCCGACAAGTACATCAACGAGACGAGCGAGGCGTTCGAACCAGATCTACGGCTACTGGGTAACAACATGGCGTTCGCCGTGCTTGCTTGTGTTATAGATATGTCTTCAGCGCCAGAGATGAGCACCACCACTAATAGAGTGCGAGTGGCAACTTGGCTGTCGGAGAGTTGTCAAAGTTGGTGTCACCAGGATGGTGGCCACACAGTCGAAGACATACTGTTCGGAGGCATACGTAGCACAAGTTGTTATGGCACCTTACTGGAGTCAGGGGGTGTGAGGCGATTCGAGGAAAGCGGCTCGCGGCGACAACAGTGTCAACCACGCGTGTACGCGACGGAGTGGAGTATCGCAGAGGTTGTGCCAATGCCCTACATTTAGCACTACCAGAACTATGTGTTCAAGAGGATTTGGCTGGAACGGGTCATTGTCTCAGTCAGCAAGGGGCTACATATGAGTTGTAATATCCAGATGTGATATGTTTCATGACCTCGCTCTTAACTTGCCTGGTAACAAGAGGCCAAAGACCTGGATGTTCACATCGTAACCTCAATTCAATCAAATTGCGAAGCCTGCTGAGCCAAACTGGCCAGACCAGCATCACGACTGGGTCGGTCGGAACTTCCTCCCCACCCCCCTCCCCCTTTTGCTCCTCCAACTCCCCCTCCTCCCGCCCTCCCGCCTTCCCGCAGTCCTGCCCCTTCCCCCCCCTTCTCGCTCCATTTGATCCCTCCTGCCCCTCCAATGTTTCGTACCCACCACTTCTCCACACCGCCTGCTCATACTCCTCCTCATCCTCCTCTCGCCTCGCCTGCCCCCCTCCTTCAAAGAGCTGGCAGCTTACGCCACAAAGTTCTGAGCCAATATGTGAGGTTCTGGTGCCCGAAGCGGCCCTGGGATGTTTTCACGCTTCTGATTTGAGCCTTTGAGGGCTTTTGAGGGCTTGTCCTGGTTTGTTTGTTTCGGCCCGTGGTCGAGCGAAGACAATTCGGGGCTCCCACCACCTGGGGAGTGGACACTGTCATTAATCCTTGGGTACGGCGCACGATCGGTCGCTCGTCGCTGAATTTTCGCCTCGCGATGTGTTAGTCGCTGCGCAGCTTCTACCTTCGACCCGATATCGATCCGCTGCCGCCGCCGCCTCCTCCTCCTTCTTGCTCCTCGAGATCCCCCTGTCACATCTTCCCCCTGCTGCCCCTCCACTTGCCCCTCACCCTCTTGTTCCCTTCCTTCTCCTCCTCCTCCTCCTCCTCCTCCTCCTCCTCCTGCTCCACCTCCACTACCAGTTGATCGCGCTGCCAACTGCAAGACAGTTTGCCCTTCTTTTGGGTGAACCTCGTTAACCTCCGCCTCCGTATGATCCTCGCGTCCTCTGCTTGATAATTGTTCCTTCCAAAATGTCTTCGTCGTCGTCGTCTTCGTCCGCCTCCTTCTCCTTCAAATCCTGCGCATCCTCGTCATCCACCACTTCCCCCTTCTCTCCTACGTCGTGCCTCCATAGCCTCCTCCGCCTCCTCCACCCACCCATCCTCATTCCCATCATCCTACATCGCGCAACCCTCTCCATCCACCTCCATCTCTTCGGCATCCCCTACCCGCCACAGTCCCCTGCTCCCCCTGGTACACATCCGTAGCTATCTTAGTTCAAATTGCCTGTGCGGCTTTCGGCCGGCGCTGAAGGGTACCCCCGCGCGCTGCAGTGGTGTCGCACAGGCACAGGGCATGAAGATGTGGAGAGGCATCGGCGTCATCGCATTCTAGAGCACTCGTCATCCACATCCTCATCTTTACTCCCCTCCTCCTTGCCTCCTAGGGTAACCCCGCCCCCTCCGTACTCCTAGTCCCGCATCTGCGTACTGCGTCGACACGAGGCGGCTGGGAGTACGGGCGGGGGTCCCTGCGACCCTATGCCAAAGGACCCGGGCCCGCGGGCCCAACATACAGTCCTCGACGGAGGACACCTACCTACCTACCTACTTGCCTGCCTGCCTGCCTACCTACCGCCTACCTACCTCTTACACTCGAACTCCTCCCCCCTTGGCCCGGCCCGCTCCTCGACCTCCTCGCCTCCTCGCCCACCCTTGCCCCTCTCCCTCCTGCTCCTCCGCCCCCTGCTCCCTTCGTCTGGTCTTCAGGACCTACTTGGCCGCGTTCCCCATTCAGGCCCCCGTCGTCCCTCCTAGGTTGCCCCTCCCCTCTCAACAACCCTTCTCTGTCCTCCCGCCCGGTACCCAGCGCCCTACCCCACCCCCCTCCGCCCCCCTTTCCGAATTCCCCCCTCCTCCCCATTCCACCTCGCCATCTTCCTTATCCCCTAGCATCTCCACCCCCTCCTCCTCCTCCTCCTCCTCCTCCTCCTCCTCCTCCTCCTCCTCCTCCTCCTCGTCCTCCTCCTCCTCCTGCTCCTGCTCCTCCTCCTCCTCCTCCTCCTCCTCCTTCTCCTCCTCCTCCTCCTCCACATCAGCATCAGCATCAGTATCGTCATCATCATCATCATCATAATCATCATCATCATCATCATCATCATCATCATCATCATCATCATCATCATCACCATCAGCATCATCATCATCATCCTCATCATCATCCTCATCATCATCATCATCACCATCATCACTCTTTTCATCGTCATCAGCAGCATCATCATAATCAGCATCAGCATCATCATCAGCATCAGCATCATCATCTTCATCTCCATCATCATCATCATCATCATCATCATCATCATCATCATCATCATCAGCATCAGCATCAGCATCAGCATCAGCATCAGCATCATCAGCAGCAGCATCATCATGGGCCTGCGTCTCCACCTCATCATCCTCATCTTCCGCCGTCTTCTCCTCCTCCTTCCCCTCCTCCTCCTCCTCCTCCTCCTCCTCCTCCTCCTCCTCCTCCTCCTCTTTCCTCCCTCCTTCCCTCCTTCCTTCCTTCCCTCTCCTTCCCTTCCTCGCTTCCTTCCTTCCGACCGTTTGACGCGCGTCCATGGTCGGGCGGCGCGCCCGGCTGGGCCCGGCGCGGGCACTTGACTACGTGTCCCGCAGGTGTGCCTCCGCCTCGCCCCCATCCGCGCCTCTCCGCGCGTCACTCGTCCTTCAGCTCCACCTCGGGGCCGGGCATGAGATCCTCGAAAGCATCCGCCTCCCCAGGGTAGGCGCCGCCACCCGGAGCGTCGGGCGCCGGCCACGCGGCATCCCTGGCGGGCGCCTCGCCGAAGTTGCACATGAGGCCCAGGGGCACCAGCGGCACCTTCAGGCGCTCCTGGAAGAAGAGAGCACGGCGCAAGCAGAAGCTTCTGGCGCTCCGCGCCGATCTCTTAAATCCGTGCCAGGGGCGGCGCCGGAGGCGCCGCCGCGGAGGCCCAGCGCGGATCCAAGAGATCCGCTCGGAGCGCCAAAAGATGATGTTTGTGGCGTACTTTCTTCTTCGAGCTCCGCCGCGGCCATGAAGGCCACCAGAAACTTCTGCCGGATGGCCCGGTGGGAGACGCCGATCACGGGGAAGAAGATCACCTGCGCGCGGGAAACGGATGCTCTCGATGCCGGCGGCGCTGGGAGGGGCTCAGGCGGTGGAGCACGAGGATGATCGGCCCCCTTCGGGGCCCCATCTCCTCCTCCTCCTCCTCCTCCTGCTCCTCCTCCTCCTGCTCCTCCTCCTCCTGCGCCTCCTCCTCCTCCTCCTCCTCTTCCTCCTCCTCCTCCTCCTCCTCCCCCTCCTCCTCCTCCTCCTTCTCCTCCTCCTCTTCCTCCTCCTCCTCCCCCATTGTCCTCCTCCTCCTCCTCCTCCTCCTCCTCCTCCTCCTCCATTCTCCTCCTCCTCCTCCTCCTCCTCCGTATCCATTTTGGCTCAAGTGGTTAAGCCGGCACAGGGGATCAGCGGCCCCCACTGCTTGCTGGGACGGGGGTCCGTCCCGTGTCAGGCATCATTCCTCCCACACGAAGATAGCGAGAAAAGGCGATTTCACAGTATGTATGTGCGCCAACTGGGCGCTCAATTTCCGCATCGCAAGGAACAGTGGCAAGTGTGCGAAGTGTGGGCGCGGCCTCGATCTATTTCGCAGGTCAGCGAAACCTCCGTGGCAGGCAGATCGACGACGCGCAAAGCAATACCAACATTATAGGGAGGACTGGTCACGTGGGGCTCCACATCTCCCGCGAAGGATCCGAAGGCGCTCCTGGAGCAGCTGGCGATGACCCCGCAGTTTGCCAAGGAGGTCACCATGCTGCAGCGGGCTCAGAGAAGTATGAGAGGTGGTGCAGCGTACTCCCCAGGAGTACTACACGGCGACGGCCAAGGAGCTCAAGTGGAAGGCGGAGGCCATGGAGCGCGCGACCAGGGTGGAGATCGAGGCGGAGACCAAGCTGGAGGCTGCTTAGAGGCGACGAGACGAGCGTCGCTCGAGCACGCCCGCGTCAAGGCGGCCCACACAGAGGCAGTCGCGTGGCGGCGGAGGCCAACATCCACCACGTGCCCCAGGGTTACACTGCGGACGGCAAGCGAGTCGACTTCGCGGTGGACGACGACCTCTTCAAGGATATCGGCTCATTCAACGAGGAGGAGCAGCGCACCCTGCGCAAGTTGGAGGCGGCCATCAAGGAGAAGTGCGACCAGGTCTCGGCGATACAGGCGACGGGTCACGAACAGTTCGCGAAGGTCAGGGACATTCGCTCGGGCGCGACCAAGAGGCAACGCACAGGCGAACAAGGGCAGGCATCAATGGGCCCAGGCCGCGGCACCACGGAGTATAAGGACGTGGCACCACACACACACCAGCCCAGACGGTCAACCCGATGGACGACGACACCCCTGAAATGTTGGCAAAGGCTGAGGAGGTCCGCAAGGCTGCTTTGGAAGCCGAGCGGAATAAGATTGCAGGGCGCGCCAAGGCGGCTGGCAAAGGGGCCTCATCTTCTTCTTCTTCTTCTTCGGCTCCTGCTACTCCAGTTAAGCGTGGGTCGCATCCCCCTACAGACTTGTGAAGGCACCACCACGGCGAGCAGCGAGTCATCTACAAGTTCTAAGATTTTCTTCAGCAGTATTTCCGAATGAGGACCAGTGGCACGGTTTTCCATGAGGGAGAAGGCTAAGCAGTAGGATATCACGGGTTTGACGGAGACACATATATTCGGACAACGCTTACAGGAAGCGAAGTCGGATTTAGGTCGGGATGGGCGGAACATCATTGCTACAAAGAAGACATATACGGGGAGATCTGCGTCGGGGACATCAGGAGGAGAGTGTATCATTACCCAGAAACGTTTGGCGACCACCTCCTTCGAAAAATTACGACAAGCGGAACGTCGGCGCGCAGGTCAGGATTGTTTCCAAAGCTTCGCGCCCATCTTGTGGCACACTCAGGTTGGGAATGTGTTGGTGGCTTCGTATTACCTCCTCCCTGGTCACAAGTTCAAGGGCCTGAATGAACACACCCTCATCAGGTTGAGATCATTCCTCAGCTTGGTGAAGAAGCCGTGGATTATCATGGGCGGCTGGAACGCACATCCAGACGAGTGGCGCAGTACTAAACGGCTGGCGAAGATCGGCCGGCGACTGGTCACCCAGACCAACGGTTCAATGGCATGCAACCGCGGCAAAAACACGCTCATCGACTACGTGACCGCGAAGACCGGGATGGCTGAGGCAATACGGGTGTCGATCGTCCCTCAAGTGCCGTGGAAGACGCATGCGGGAATGCTGCTGGGGGGTGAAGTATGCTAAGTTAGGCTGGTGGAACAGGGCGTTGACGACAGCGAAGCCACTCCCGACGGTGGCGAGGCCTACGACGGCGCAACTGGAGGATCACCTGCAGGAGGCGTTCGAGGAGCTCCAGCAACCGATGGTGCAGGGCGTGCAGGAAGAGAAGGTTCCCTTCCAGATCTCCGAGGAGACGTGGGAGCAAGTCCAGGCACTAGGCCAAGTGTAAAGGACGAATCCTGTCCCGCACTTCCTTCTGGATAGGGACACGCCGTGCAGGGACCGGCTGGCCCAGGACTGCGCTGCCTGGGTAGCCAAAGTGGAGGGGGCCACGATTATCCACCACCACTTGCAGGCTTCTGAGGCAGCCAAAATGCGCGGACGGGCTCAAGGGCATCGAGTCACATGGGAACAGACGCTCGCTACCCCCGACCGACCACATCTCCGAGACCCTGCTTCGGAATAGTGGGAACTTTGTACGACTCTTCTGGTCAGAGCGGGTGTATTACGGCAAGCTGAACGAGCATCCGATTTAGAGGTGAAGTATACTAAGATAGACGAATTGTTGGCTGCGGACGGCACCAACGAGAAGTTCACGATTTTCCACGTGGAGGACCAATTCACATGTTGGCTAGGAATGATAAGCACAATCACGAAATGTAATCACGACGAGTTTCAGGAGATACAGGTGCATGCCGAGAAGTTCAAGAACAGAGTGTTGGGTCGGTCACTCTCGAACTCGCGGAGAAGTTCCCTGTCATGGGCCACGAAAATGTGGAAACCTACGCAAGGAGCTCTGCCTCGGTATGCCCGAGGGGTGTTGGATAAGCCAGATGAGATCGTTTCGGATTTGAGCGTTTTTCCTTCACGCAATGCGATGATGGACTACCGTGCTGACAAGTGACAGAAGGTATGGAGTAGTACGAGTTACGACCAGGCGAAGTTCCTCTCAGGGCTAGAGCACGTCCACAAGAGAGAATTGCATCAAGGCATGGAGGCGATCACAACGGGGCCGATCTACCAAGCCACGGTCAGCATGAACGCGAAGATGTCGAAGCGAATAGACATGATGGGACCACTGGAAGTGCAGAGACGACCGCACCGAGTTGATCAGTTACGTCACGTCCTGCGCGACGTTGAGAAGCAGGGCGTGTGGCCAGGTCAGCTCTTCCTGGTAATGGGAGCGGTCGCCCCGAAGCCACGTGGAGGAGATGGGATATGAGGGCCTCTGCCCGCTTTGGTCCAGTTGTGGGCGAAGGTAGGCAGTTCAGAGACACTTCAGTGGACATGCGATGCAGATGAGCACTGGGGCACGGCTATACGTGGGCCGTCAGCACTGCAGGCGGCATTGATACGGAGCCTTCTGGACGAATCAGCCCGAGAACCACATATTGCATCGTCCACAATGTTGTTGGACATCGATAAATTGTACGACAGCCCGGACAGTACGAAATTGTGTGCGGCGGCCCTGACACCAGGGTTTCCAGCGATGGTGCGACTGCTGGAGTTACAGATGTGCTTGGCCCCGCGTGTACTCAAAGATCGGAGTTGGATGTCGCATCAGATTCAGTCGCAGCGAGGTATCGTAGCTGGTTCTCTCAATGGCGGCCGCATGGCTAAAGCCTTTTTGGAACCTATGCTTGAGAGAGCACACAGTCTATATGGAATGAATACAATGCTGCGCACAGTCATGGACGATACGGCTATACGAGCTGAAGGCACTGAGAAGCAAGTTGTAGATGTCATGGTCGAGACTGGGAGACATATGCGAGCAGTTTCAGCAGACAGGTTTGATCATCAGCGGCAAGACGGTGGTGTGAGGAATTACCACGAGTATTTCGAATCAAATGGCAGGTGGACTTCGACGAACGTGTATCCCTGTCACGTCTAATATTGAAGCAGCTGATCTTGGGATGGGCACTACGGCTGGGAGAAGGACATCGTGTAGAAAAGCAAACTAGAGAAAGGCGAAGGCGAGGAAACCAATCCAAAAAATACGCAGGATGAGAAGACACGCCAAGCATCACTTCGTCACTGTGGGTCACGGTAGCCAGACCTCACATTACATCTGCGCATCAAGCTTACGGAGCACCACGCTACATGGTGACGGATTTAAGGCGACAGGCGGCGCAGTGTTCAGTTGGTTCGGGACCAGGACGCTGTTTGACCACATCACTGGCCATGGTCTTCAAGAGCAAAGACCCTGCGCATGCGTCGGGAGCTCAAAAGTTCGTGGCTGAAGATGTGGCGAGAGAATTCTGAATCTCATGCACGCGTCGCGTTGGCCTGGGACACCATTCGCAAGAGGATGCTGCGAGCGGGGTCGAGAGGATGGGGGTGTGTGAGGGAACCGATTGGGGCTACAGTGGCCACGTTAATGGAGATTGGATGGATACCACGTTCTCCGATGCAAGGGGGATCAGATCAAACTACATGGACGAGCCCTTCTTGTGCCGATGCCGAGCTGGACCAGTTCCATGGAGCCGTCACGGATACCCTGGACGACGCAGATGGTGCGGTGGACAGACAGCTCCGGAGCACGGCGGCGCACCGCTTCGACGGCAGTGCCCTGCAGGGCACGCGCCGCCACGCTTCAGGCCTGCAGGGAGCTGACGCGCCCCGGCGTCGACGACGCGACCGACGACTGGGCGCTGAATGTGGTGGCCGCGACGGGCGGCCAGTGAGCGCGTGAGAGGCTGAGCCAGGCGGGGCACCACGTGCCCGGCCTCCTCTGCCCGAGGCAGGCGCCAGAAGGCACCCGAGAGTCGGTTTCACCGTATCTGGGGGTGTGAGGCCAATGCAGGCCACGGAGATTTTGAGACGTCGGAGGCGCTTGCGGCCCAGGCGGGAGCGAGCTTCGAGAGTTCGCCGAGCTCTTGGCCCCGAGGGATCCCCAGTCGGGCCGAGACGGTCCCCACTTTTTCTCGTGGACCTCCCTTGGTGTTCCAGTCCAGATCGACCCAGGACATCCCCAGAGACGCCGAAGGTTTCGCTACCACGTTCGGGGACGGGTCGGGTGGGAGGTTCTCTGATGACCCTCGGCGTCGACGGGTAGGTTCGGGGGCTGTTGCTCCGGCCCCTGAGGGCCAGCAGTGGAGGTCGGTCTGGGGCTTCGGGGCGACCATCCAAGGAAGGAGGCAAAGCGCTCCTCGCGCGGAGCTCACCGCTTTCGCCAATGCGCTGGATGCGATCCCAGGCCGACTTCGATGTGTGACAGACCGTCTCCCCCTTCTGAATTCCTGTGCAAAGATCGGAAGTTCGGTTTCGAGTGCCTCGAGGGGGGGGTCAATGCGGACCTTTGGGCCAGGACTGTTGCGGCGCTGCGAGCTAGAGAGCCTGCTGTTGTCGAAATTGTTCGGGTGGCCTCCCGCCAAGAGGAGGCTGCGCTCCGCGACCGAGACAAGGCCTCAGTAGTGTACGGCCACGCATGTGCCGATGCGCTAGAGGGGGCCATGGCAGAAAAGTCATGGATGGAGTTCGTGATCTCTGACCCCCCCACCGACAGAAGGGATGCGGACCCGATTTTGATCCGTCGGCGCGCGCGTCGGGCCCCGGGGCTGCTGGCCCACAGCTTCGGATCCTTGGACCGCGGAGCGCCCGACGGTGGGGAGAGCGAAAACTCTTTTTCTGAGTTGGTGAGGGTCCTAAGGGCTTCGGAGCATCGGTGGTGTCGTGTGGGTCCCGAATGTTATTGCGCAGCGTGCTCGGGTTCTTTCGAATCACGCTTCGATGTTCTTCAGGCGTTTGGGACCCCCTGTGGCCCGAAGCGTGCTCGGGAAAATTCGAAGCGATCCGAGGGACCAACGTGGCGGTGGGCAGAGAGCTCCGTTCCTCGCACACGCATCAGTGTTGGAGTGAGTACATTCCAACTTCTGCAGCAAGGTGTGGGCTTAGTTGCACGACCGACCCTCGGCAGCTTCTGAAGGTTTGCTGCCCGACCCGCAAGGGCAAGCAGACTTTGGCAAGAATCAAGTCGGGTCGCTTCCCCCACCCGTCGGGGCCCCCCAAAGCGGCTCTCGAGGCCGAGCAGAGTCGTTCCAATCAGTTCAGCAGGCTAATGTACTTTCGTCGCCGTTTCCCTGGAACGTTCCTGGAACATTCCTCCTCCTCCTCCTCGCGGCGCTGGAGGGACGCAGGCGGGGGAGCACGAGGATGATCGGCTCCCCCTCGGCGGACCGGATCTGGCTGACACTGGTGTATTGTTATCCCCAACCCCGGGCCACGGCTCCCCATTGCGATGGAGATCGGCAGAGCATTACAGTGGAGGCCAGTGCACAAGAAACCTTCTGCAAGAAACCCAACCTTGAGACCACGAGACTTCCATGGATTTATGGCGTGAGAAAGTCACACTCTCCACAGCAAAGCCGTCGAAACTCAAGGAGCACAGGGCACCCTTGAGGCGAGCAGGGTGTTTCTTGGCATTGGCCCCCACTGTATGCCCAGCGGTCACCTCGAGGTTGTAGCCGCTGCCGGTCTTGGTGATGTGGGACTTCTGGTAGTTCTTCTGCTGTATCTCGGGAGACTTCTTGATCCATCTCCTGGCGAAGTCCACAACCTTCTCCACGCGTGCGAGCGGGCAGCGACAGCTGATGCCGATGTTCAGAAGCACGGTCTTCGTCGGCCTCCGCGTCCAATTCTGGATGATCATCTTGTTGAACACGTCGTGGCTGATCCAGGTCTGTTTCATTTCGAAGTTCCTGATGACCACATACATGATTGTTATGTTCTCCACGAACCCCATGATCGAGGTGGCAGGGGAGCTCATCGAGCCCGTCGAGTTCAGGGTGATGAGGTCTCCCACGTAAAACGGCTTGTACAGCGAGAGCCGAAGCAGGCTGATGGTGTTGGGGCCCAGCTCGAAGATCAGGCTCCCCGAGGCAGCACTCGACACAAGCAGCCCACCGACGATGAAGCGGCTGATAGTCTCCTGGTCCTGGAGCAGGACGGCGATGAAGATCATGCCGCCGATGAGATGGGCAAAAAAATAATACAGCCACCAGATGTACGCCAAAACTTTCGCGGGCACCGTGTTGGTCTCCTTGAAGCAATACACGAGGTCTTTCTCAGCCTGCTTATGCTGTTGATGCCGCTGACCCTCGTGCTCCTGACACTCTGACTCCTGACGCTTCGACTCCTGCGATGAATGCCGGGTGATGCTCTTGACGATGCCTTGCATCTTCTTCACCGACTTGAAATTGTTTATTATCTGCTGGTCGTCTGCCATGCCCTTGATAACTTCGTCAACGAGGTCCAGGAGCTTGAACCACAGGACCAACAACACGAACGCGATCAACACACCGAGAGCGTACCTAAACGAACCCGCGGCGTACTCGTTCAGGGCGTAGGAGCAGGCGTCCCTGAGCAGAGCCAACAGGGCAATCAGCATCAGTGGTGCGGATAGCGGGTCACAGCACCATCGCCTTGAACTAGACTTATTTCCCTTCTCCCACCAGAAACATGCATGTCGGAGGTGCTGGACAAACCAGTTAGTGAGTGCACATGCGACAGGAGCTGTGGCCAGCCGTACGTATGCATCTGACAAGTCTTCCAAGAACAACGACTCGTGCTTCTTCAGAGAAGAACGAACTTGAAGCACGACCACGAGTGGCATAGATATAGCAAAGGCCACAATCACAATAACATTGGAGCTTACGCAAAACCTGCGAAAACTCGGCTGCTGGTAAGATATGAAATGAGGGATGGCTCCACCAAATCCTGCGCCCAATACCTTAGGAACACATCCCGCTTCATGCTCATCCTGTTCCAGACGGCGCGATTCACCCCAAAGCAGGGATCACCATGCAGATATGCGGATCGAGCGCGCGACCGGCCGCCATAAAACCGATCGATCGACGAATCGACTCGACCAGCGGCCACATCGAGCTCCGATCGACGCACGCGGGCCCTCTGAGCTCAGAGCGTACTCCCCCTCCTTCGAGGGGCAACGATGGGGGTGGACTGGAACAGGGGGGAAACATGACCTGGAATCGGCGAATCGCCAATCCCTACGCTCCTGGGCTGGGTGGGGCTATCAAGCCTCTATCGGCGACCAATGGGCGACTGGGGGTCGTTGAACCCCCCCGTGCCCTATCCCCCCCCCCCCCAACGTTGCCGCCCCTCCTCCACCAGCCTGTTGAGCTTCTTCGAGCGGAGGGTGTCCTCGGACATGGCCCGCCTGCGGAGCGGCGTCCCGGGCAGCGGTTCCGGGGCCTCTCTGGGCGCATGCATCGAGCAGGGGATCGACTACGGCATGGATGCACCCCCAAATTCCTCTTTTCGTCGAATCCATGAGAGATGCGTAACATGTTCGTAGATCTACGGACATTCTACGTGAGGCTCGAGGAAAATATCACGTTTGGGGTACATCGATTCTATGACTAGCCCAAACATAAAATTACAAGAAATCAAAAGAGCACGAAAACCTGTCCCCAAACTATTTGTTGAACTATTTTTGAATATTCCTCCTGTGGAGGGACGTGCCGACTTCATTCTGTAGTCGATGCCCTGCTCGCGTGCAGCCAGTCGGACCTCGAGGAAGCCGGGCCCCGAGCCCTGCGGCGCCCTGCCGCAGGAGCCAACCATGCTGGCCGAGCCTTCTGCTCTGGGGGCGCCCAGGATCGGCTGCGAGCGAAGGGGGGGGAGAAAGGGAGAGGGAGACCCAGACCCCCTCGCGCTGTGAAAAAATCACGACGGGAAATTTTGCAGTAATTTCAACCTCTGGTGGCCATCGCCAGCCCTCAGGACCGTCAACAAACGACTCAGGATGGAAAGCCGGTCCCAGGGAATGGGTCCAGATCTCTGGGTGTCGCGTCATTCACAAATCATGACGTCGGGGGTCTGGGGAAGGCCCTCGCAGAAGGCGGCGGGGCTCCTCAGAGGTCTGGTGCGTCTTCGGGGAAGGCTCCGAACATTGCGGAAAAGGCCGGGAGACTTCCGAGCCATCTGAGAAAGCCCGCCCCTTCTCACTTCCCCACCGGGCTCGCCGCCGACAAAAGGGGGGCGGCCAACAGGGGAACTCGCGGAAACCCTTACCCAAAACACATACACATCCAAAAAGACGGCAACAAACAACATATTAACATAACAAAGAAAAGCCATGCCATCGGAGGAAATGTCATGGGCCACACTCGCCTCCATGCAACTCCTCGACCGGTGTCAACTTGAGGAACCTGTGGAGGCATGGGGAAGCCCGCGAAGTCAGGCCACCTGGTAGCCTATGTCGGGCATGTCCTCCTACAAGCGATTTTTGGAAGAACTATTAGAAATAATCAAAGCACACTTTTTCGTTGATTATAAAGACACATGCGAAACATACTTGGGGAATATTCTAAAAACGCATCGGCCAAAAAATAAACAAGTTCCCTGCTGGAGGGTTGCCTTGTTATCGCGGTTTACCACTTGCGCGCTCCGGCGCGCGTGAAATGCATAGCGTAAGCTATGGCCGCATTTATGTCGCTACAAGAGAAGCACGATACACATTCAATGGCCTCGATCTCGCCCGAGAACAAACCAACCCTGCCGCGCGATCAGCTGGCTCCGCGCGGTTCGTTGCCACTGTGCTCACCTCGAGGACAAGCGATAGACGCAGCGCGCGCTCGGGGGGCGCGCGACGGGGGCCACGAGAAAACGGCCAATCCACAGGCAACCGCTGATCGCAACGCGTGCAGATGGCAAATGAAAAGCCCCGCGAATTAAGAATAAGATCCGCGGGGGCTGGCGGAGCGCCGAAATCTCGCCCATGTATCGATCGGCCGATCGATCAATCTTCCGATCAACCGATTGACGGGCCCCCCTCCCCCACGCCGTCCTCCCCCCCTTCCCAATTTGCAAATGGGCGGGTGCGCGGGAAAACTGGATCCAAAAATGGATACCAAAATACTTGGCCATGTTCCGTCTGGAAAATGCGTCACGCGCGTAAGGCGCATCACATGTTTGCCGCGCGCGCGCATTGAGAGCCAGTCCCCCAGCGGGATCGGGCAGAATGAGGCCGCGACGCTTCTGCGGCGCGGAACGACATGCGCTCGGCAACATAGCGGTGCGCTGTTAAACCCAAGGGGGCACCGCATCAGCAGTGCGCGTCTCTGGCATGGCACCCCTGGCGCAAGGCATCAGAACAGCTAGCGAGCCCACTGCATCATGCGCCGCAGCGGTGCGATTCCGAGCGAAGGAGGGGGAAAGGGGGGGTTATTGCCACGAGATTTTCGCGCTCTCGAGGAAAAGCCACGGGGCCCACTTCGAGGTAGTGTTTTCCGGAAAGCACGCGGGGGCATCTTATGGAAGATTTGAAGCAGTCGAAGATGGTAACGCGCTGCGTCCTGGGGTGTTTTGATGTCTCGCACAGGTCGGCGAGCGTTTCCTGTTGCATTTGGAAATAACAGAGGGCGCCGCGGGGGCATATCTGTGGAATGTTCTCGAAAATCGCGACTTGCACTGGCGTGTCTTTGGGAAACTCTAAGAACTCGCAGATGACACTAGATTATCCTTGGAAGATTTTGCAATTTCGCAGACGGCACTGGAGCATCTTTGGAACATTTTGAGACCCAGGCCCCCTGGAGTCACGAAAAAATCACGACGGGAAAGTTTCCAATATTTTCAGCCTCCGGGGGGTCCTTACCGGGCCTCGGGACCGTCAAAAAACGACCCGGGATGAATAACCAGTCCCAGGGAATGGGTCCGGACTTCTGGAGGTCGCGTCATGAGGAAATCATGACGTTGGGGGTCTGGGGATGTCACAAATGGCAGTGGAGTGTATCTGGAATATCATGGAGTTTGGCAATTGACACAGGAGTATATTTGGAATGTGTTGGGTACGTTTGGAGCATGTTTGGAATATTTCTTGAGCGCGTGAAATCTGCGGGGGAATTTGTGGACCATTTCAGACGTATTGGAAATCAACGGGAAATATTTTCTGAGTGGTTGGAACCTGCGGGATATACTGTTCGAATATGTTGCGCGCGCGAATTGTGTTTGAAATCCACCGGCGGAATACTTCGCGCGGCCGGCGAGCGCGCGACATCCTGCGCGGGAATATCTTATCAACTCACGGGGCATGTCGGACACCCGCTCCGGATATCCGAAGTACTGCTGCTGCGCCGACGACGACGCCTATCTGCACACTGGATGCCCCGACGGCACCGGCGACGATTGGGGCGCGGCGCAAGCTCCCGGTCCCGCTTTACAGCGCACGCGCTGGGCCCGCCGATCTTTACACATGAATAGATGTGTATGGACGTGCACACGTATGCAAATAGGCATGTTGCTCTGCCCTGGTTGAAAGCGCTATATACTCGGCTCCGCGCAATCCGCGCGACCACTTTACCGAACCAGTGGATGAATATCAATGTTGCTGTGCTTGTAAGTTTATATACAAATGTGCACACGTAATAAGCCCAAATCGTACTTCGCCCCATTGCACGCCCAATTGGCCCTTTATCTGCTCTACGCCGCTACAACGGCACACGCAAGCCTCCTCTTCTCTTGTATAGAAGAACTGGCTGTTGCCTATATGACATGTCTACGTCGACTCCAATTTGCCCTACTCGGAACTGGCTCTCACCTTACCCTGCGCCCGGTTGCAGTTAACCTGACTCGCGGAAAACTCCCAGTCCACTCCTACCGTGCTCCATCTCAACTCCTAATCCACTCATATCTACTCGATGATGGCATCAACGGGGTTATGCCTTGTCCGGTCACGCCTGTCCCTTGCGCAATATACCCCGCGCGATTGCCCAGAGAAACCCACTGGCCGAATGCGGGAAGCGCCGATCTATGCGCGCCGCGCGCCACCCTCATTGAGCGGGAGTAGGGCGGGGAGGATGCTCAATGGTAGCGCGCAGGAGCGAAGGGGTAAAGAGGGGGAAGACTGGGGTCTTGCAGCGAGAACTGGCCACAATGACTGATCGGGCGGAATTTCTGGACGCGCGTAACGAAAACGACAAAGAAGCAGGGGTCCAAATCTGCAGGGCCACTGTCGGCTGCCAAAAGAGTACTCGCCGAATTGTCCACGCCGAGCACAAGATCTAATCGCAGCGACGCGCCACCCAGTTCACGATGGTAGCGCGCGGTCGACCATTGTGCACGTCGCACGAACCACATCTCCATAGACGCGAGCCTTTGCTAAAACCCGATAACTCGCGCTGCCGCCAAGCGTGGCGAAACAAATTATGGTGCCGCCGCGCAGCGCATCGCGTTGTCCAATCGGGTGCATCGTGCGTTCGGCTAGCCAGTATCCCGACAACTATTTCCTTCGATTGCTTGTTTTTTCTTTATTTTTATTTTTAATTGAGCATAGCAGGAGACATCGTCACACAACTATTGTCCAATTCTTCTCCGATATTCATCCAGTAAAGGGACATGCCCGACGAATGGTAGCGCACGCGCGGCATCTGGTAGCCCGAGCACGCCACCTGACATACCTCCCAATCATCACCCCCCTCTTGGCCGCCCCCGATTTCTAACAACTCCAGGGGCCCGTGGCTGACCCCGGGACACCGAGCGAACGGTGGAGAGCTCAGGGCCACGTCTCCTTCCGGATCCGTCTTGCCGCCCACGGGGGCCTCCTGGATGCCCTGCAGCAGCGGCTGCGTCTTGGACGCGGCGGCCAGTGCTGGCGCCCCTGTGCGAGGATCGGGGGGGCAAAGGATCTGGTGAACCTGCACTTTCGGAGGTCCGCGCGGATTTCTCGGATCGGCGCTGGAGCCCCCCGGCGGCGCCTCCCGCGCCGACCCTGGCACGCTCCGCGCGCTGAGGAAACGGGGGGGGGTCAGCGCCGATCCAAGAAATCACCGTGGACCTACCAGAATGTATGCGTATGGCGTTATGTGTCCCTTGAGAGGAGGGCCGCTCGGAGAAGGCGGCGGGACAGAGTCCACGTCGCAGTCGAAGCTCCTGCGCCCGGTGGTTGCAGAAAGCAGGTTGCAGAAGGTGGCCCCTGGGCCAGGGGTGCCCCCCAGATTTGCGCTCCAGCCTGGCGGCTCTGGGGCCCTCTGGGTCTCGTGGAGAGGTGCTCTGTAGGCGGTGGGGGCCTCCCTGGAAATCCTGAGGACGCCCTGGGCCAGGGACACTTCTGGGCACACCTTTTGAAGGGTTTCCTGGTTTTCGAGCCCTTGTGGGGCCCTCTGGGCCGTTTTGGGACGATCTTTGGAGCCTCTGGGGCCGTTTTCGGTCGTGATTGGCCCGAAAAAGCGAAAACTAGAAAAGCCTGCAAAAGCCATTGAACAACAACAAAAACTGTTGAGGGGGACAATCAAGGGGTCCAGCCCAGGGGCGGGAGATATCGACCTGGAATCGGCGATACATCGTCGACGGGTCGGCGAGAAGCTCTCGATAGCAACTCCGCACGTTCCTGGGCGGGGTGGGCTACGAGGGCTCAATCGGCGATCAACGGGCACTGGCGGGCCAATGCTTCCCACACTGAGCCTATCGCCCCTAAACGCTGCCCCTGACAGCTGCATGCAGCCCGTTTCATTGGCGCCTTTTGGCGCCATATGCGGCCATGTGCAAGGGAACGTGTCTGGCAACCCAGACCCCCGACGTCATGTTTTTTTTATTACGCGACCCCCAGAGGTCCGGACCTATTCGCTGGGACCCGCTTTTCACCCCGAGAAATTCTTTGACGGTCCCGAGGGCCGGTGAGCGCCCGCAGAGGCCGAAAGTAGGGAAAAACCTCCCGTCGAGATTTTTTCATGACTCGAGGAGGCCTGGGAATGAAGCCGAAGCCGCCGCCCCTCCGTCCGCCCAAGAGGGAAGAGAGAGACCGTTGAGGACCCGGCAATGATCAGGTCGGGCCTGTCCCCCTGCAGGCGGATTTTGGGCGAAAAATTAAAGATATCCCAAAAGTGTTCAAACTAACTATTAAGAAGATCGTCCCCTAACTATTTTTTGAGTATTTTTGAGCACTCCTCCTGTATAGGGCCAGGCCCGCCGTCCGCCCAGGAGGGAAGAGACCGTTGAGGATACCCGGGCTCCGCTCCCTGCCTCCGGTGCTCCTGCCCGTGATATGTTCCCCTGGGACGCCTGGGCCGGGCCCGTGGCCGGCGACGACGACGGCGAGAGCGGCGGCGGCGACGTCGACGACGTCGACGACGACGGCGACGACGACGACGACGGCGACGACGGCGACGACGGCGACGGCGGCGACGGCGGCGACGGCGACGACGACGGCGACGACGGCGACGACGGCGACGGCGGCGACGTCGACGACGTCGACGACGACGACGACGACGGCGACGACGACGACGGCGACGACGGCGACGGCGGCGACGGCGACGACGGCGGCGACGACCAGGACGCCCCCCGAGGCCGCCGTGAGCCGCCCGGCGGCCAGGCTGCCCGCGGCGGCGGCGGCCGCGGCCGGGGGGTCCTCCGGCGCTGCAACCGGCTCCGCAGGTCCTCCGTGAGGTCGGGCAGCGTCTCCCCCTGAGATCCGACGTAGCGAACAAAAGTGCGACATCGTAGAAATCCGCGCCCGGAGCCCAGGACCCCATCTGTCTGCGTCATTTTTCGAGCCGGATCGATCTGTGAGGGTCCCTTGGCCCGAGTTGGAGCGAAAACGCCCGTTGTGAAAAAATTGCAACGCCAGGATCTCAGGGCCCTACCGAGACCCCCTCGAGCCATTTACAAGAAATCACGACGGGAGGCTTTTCGCTGTTTTCGGCCCCTGATACCGGCCCTCGGGACCGTCAAACAACGGCTCGGGACGACAAACCGGTCCCGGCGACTAGGTGACTAGGTCCGGACCTCTGGGGGTCGCGTAATGGAAAAATCATGACGTCGGGGGTCTGGGTCCAGGGGGATATTCTGGAGGAACAAAAATAGTCAAGCAGCTACCCCGACATGATCAAAAAGGGTTCAACCAAAATCGTCCCCTCCTCCTCATTCTCCTCCTCCTCCTCCTCCTCCTCCTCCTCCTCCTCCTCCTCTTCCTCCCCCTCCCCCTCCGACGAGGATTCCTTCTCCATCCTCCCCCTCTTGGGGTACGTGACAGCGTCCCCCGCCCTTTGTTATTCTGCATGCTCCCCGACTTCCCTGATCACCTCAACTCCCCTGGGCATCGTTTCTGGATGGCCTGGTGGGGATACGCGAAGCGTCAACAATTTTCTTCTCTTTTTGAAGATTCCTCCCGTAGAGAGACGCGCCCGACATTCGGTCCTCCGTGGCGGAACGCTCCAGCGCCGGGGGCCCCTCGGCGCTCCGGTCCCCCGGGCGGCTCCTCGGGCTCTCCTCCCGCGGGCGGCGGCACATCCTCCATGCACGCGAGCCCTCGCGGCCTGGATCCCCGGAGGCGCGATCCCGTGCACATCTGCGGTCACATTGCCCAGGCCCCCCTGGCGTCACGAAAAAATCGCGAAGGGAATGTTGTTCGCTGTTTTCGGCCTCCGGGGGCCCTCGCCGGGCCTCGGGACCGCAGAAAAACGGCTCAGGATCAAAAGCCGGTACCGGGGAATGGGCCTGGACCTCCTGGGAGTCGCGTGATGAAAAACATCATGACGTCGGGGGTCTGGGTAGGGGGCAGAACATCCACCCCGATAACAGTCAACCCGACGCGCGAAGCCGTTTAGCCAACGCGCCCACGGAGGGAATCGAACGGGGTGGGGAGGTTCCGCAAGCGCCCAGGGCCGTGCAAGGAACGTCGACTGTCGGGTCCGGGTGGTTCTTCCTCCCTTGACACATGGCTGCGCTTCGCGCGGGGCGTCCGCGCAGGGCGGCCGGCAGAGGGGCCGCGCGTGGAGAGCGGGAGGGAAGCGAGAGAGAGGGAGGCGGACCACGCGCGGGAGGAGGCGAGCGGAGGGAGGAGGAGCGTGCGGGGAGCGGGAGGGATATAGGGAGGGGGGGGGGAAGGGAGGGGGCAGGAGGAGCAGGGGGGAGGAGCAGGAGGAGCAGGGCGAATCCATGGGCGAGGCTTCGGATGGCGCCAAGACAGCCCCACTTTGCTAGTCCCGGCTAGCCTCAGCAGGCCCTCCGAGCAGTCGACGGGGCGGCCTCGACCCCTCAAAGCCCGCGCGTGGCGCGGCGCGCCCCAGGGCGCCGGCGGAGGCGGCGCCAGGGTGCGGAGACGGCGCAGTCGACTGCTCGGGAAGCCTGCGGAGTCCAGCAGGGGCTGCCTGTGGGGGGGGCTGCCTCTGCGCAGCCCGACGCCCTGCCAGAAACCATGGGCAGGGAGGCCGTCTCCCAGAGGGGATCCGAATAGATGTGGTCGGAGGGTCGCGCCGCATCGCCGAGGCGTCGGCGACGCATCGGCGACGTCGGCGATGCATCGGCGACGTCGGCGTGAAGGAAATCGGGCTCCGCATCGCGCCGCACATCGCCGACACCTCTGCGACATGCAGCGCGATCCTCTGACCCCATCCGCTCCGACTCCATCTGGGAGGCCCAGCACGGGGTCGCGGCCCGGGGGCCCAGCCCACGGGCCAAACCCCCGACGTCATGGTTTTGTCATGATGCGACCCCCAGAGGTCCAGACCCACCCGCCAGGACTGCTTTTGCACCCCGACTCGTTTTGTTGACGGTCCCGAGGGTCGGCAAAGGGCCCCCCGAGGCCGAACATGGCGGAAAACCTCCCGCCGCGATTGATGTTCACGACTCGAGGGGGTGGTCTGTTGAGCAGGGACCGACCGTCCCGGCATTCCTATAGTCCTACCACGAAATGTTCTCAGAACCCCAAAAAGGTGTAAGAACAAAAACAATGTTCTTAGAGCATTAACCCGATGTGTTAAACCAAGACAGTACCAACCAGAAATGTTCTAAGAACATTTCGTGGAAACCACAAAAGGTTATTAGAACATTGTTTCGTAGGGCTATAGGCGAGCCAGGACGCTTCGCCACTGCCTGAGGTCTGGGGGGGCCGTGGACACGGAGGCGCCCCCCGCCCGCGGTCTCCGGCGCGACTGCTGCGGCCTCGGGGAGGTCGTCGTCGGGCGCAAGCCGCGGGGCCCGCCGCTCCGGCCCGAGCATGGCGCGGCCGGCCGGGCCCCGATCGGAGGAGCCAAGCCAAGGGCGCCCTGGCTGGGAGGAGCCCCGAGATGGGGAGGAAGGAGGCGTACGGTGGCGGTGGGGGGGCGTGGGGGCTCTGAGGAGCGGGGGGGCAGAGAAGGGCGGAGGGGGGAGGACGAGGAGCATCAGGACGAGGAAGCGGGGGAGGAGGACGACGACGAGGTTGCCTCCCCCAACTACCTGAGTCTTCTCCTGGCCGGGAGGAGGGCCAACGAGCGCGCTAGTGCTTCGCACAGACTGGTCCGCAGCCTTATGCATAGGAGGAGGGGAGGAGCAGAATGGCGAGGGGGAAGAGGAGGGGGAGGGGGCAGGAATAGGGAGAGTACGGGGGGGGAGGAGGAGAAGGGGGATATGGCAGGAAGAGAGAGAGAGACGGGAGGGGAGGGGGATGGGGAGGAGGAGGAGGAGGAGGAGGAGGAGGAGGAGGAGAGGAGGAGGTGTTTAGGAGGCGGAGGAGGAGGAGGAGGAGGAGGAGGAGGAGGAGGATGAACAGGAGGAGCAGGAGGAGGAGGAGGACGAGGACGAGGACGAGGAGGAGGAGGAGGAGGAGGAGGAGGAGGAGGAGGAGGAGGAGGAGAGGAGGAGGGTCAGAAGCAGGAGCGGGGGCAGTATGAGATTGGGGAGCAGGGGCGGCAAGGGAACGACGACGACGACGACGAGACCGAGTCAACGAAGACGAAACGACGACCGACGACGAGGACGAGAAGGCAACAACGAGGACCCGCGATGAAGGCATCATAGAGAGTCCGCGGGCACAGACGTAGCTCAACGACAACGCACAGACAAACATCAGAAGGATAATGGGGATGAGGATCAGCGCGCGGGGGGATCTGTCCCAGCAGCCCCCTTGGGGCAGTTAGTTGAGGGAGATAGATCTGGAGGTAGGAAAAGGGTGTGGTATAGAGGGGTGTGTTTTTTTTTCATGTAAGGGGGGACACACATATATATATATATATATATATATGTATATATAGATCACAGAATAGTTTGCACAACGCCTATTGCTCGACAGATGGCATCGCCATTTCCACGAATGGCACCATACCCCTTTATGCCACACCCATTTCCGACCTTCAGAATGAAAGTTCCGCTTTCGTCCCATCCGGGGAGGGGTCTGCCCCGCCCACTACCCCCTCCCTTGGGGTCTGGGCAAGGACTTCGCGAGGCACTGGGGCGCCCAGTACGGTCCAAAACGTATAGGTTGCTCCAAGACGAGTCCAGATAGCCCAAGGTGGCCTCCAACAGGGCCCAACAGAAATCCAACATGGCCTTCATCGGGCCTCCGAGCAAGAGGCCCCCAGACCGCCCCAAGTGCCCCCTGAGCCTCCCGCAGATCCCCCCGCAAAGGTCCAACCAGGTAATTCGCCTTCCCAATTCTAAGCAAGTTGCCTTGTCGCCTCTCTGCTTCCGAGTGGCTTCTGAGTCCTCAAGATGGGTCCAAGACTGCCCAAACGAGCCTGTAGAGGGGCTCGGGAAGACGCCATGACGACACCGAACACTCCTGGCAGGAGGAGGAGGGGGAGGAGGAGGAGGAGGAGGAGGAGGAGGAGGAGGAGGAGGAGGAGGAGGAGGAGTGGAGGAGGAGGAGGAGGAGGAGGAGGAGTGCATGAGGAGGAGTGGAGGAGGCGCAGAAAGAGAAGGAGGAGGGAGGAGGATGAAGGAGGGAGGGGGAAGGAGGAGGAGTAGGAGGAGGAGGAGAAGGAGGAGGGGGAGGAGGAGGGGAGGAGGAGGACGGAGGAGGAGGCGGAGGAGGAGAGGGAGGGGAAGGATAAGGAGGAGGAGGAGGCGGAGGAGGAGGAGGAGGGAGGAGGAGGAGGAGGAGGAGGAGGAGGAGGAGGAGGGGGAGGCGGAGGCGGAGGAGGAGGAGGAGGAGGAGGGAGGGGGAGGAGGAGGACGGGGGAGGAGGGGGAGGAGGAGGAGGAGGAGGAGGAGGAGGAGGAGGAGGGGGATGATGATGATGCTTATGATGATGATGATGATGCTGATGATGATGATGATGATGATGCTGATGATGATGATGATGATGATGATGCTGATGCTGATGATGATGATGATGCTGATGATGATGATGCTGATGCTGAAGCTGATGCTGATGCTGATGCCAATGATGCTAATGATGCTGATGATGCTGATGCTGATGCTGATGATGATGATGCTGATGCTGCTCATGATGATGATGATGATGATGATGCTGATGATGATGATGATGATGATGATGCTGATGCTGATGCTGATGCTGATGGTGCTGATGATGATGCTGATGATGATGATGATGATGGTGATGATGATGATGATGGTGATGATGATGATGATGATGATGATGATGATGATGATGATGATGATGATGATGATGAT